TTGAGATCAGGCCTTGAACGTCTTTACGTTGTTTACGAAAGAACACCTGAAGAAGTGCAACATACAGAAGCGTTCAAAAGTCTTCAGTGAAATGCTTTAATGCTTTTCGTTCATAACTTTTTTCTTAGTAGACCAAATCGCGCAAAATTTGGGTATGTTCAACTAGAGCATATTTCACCCTACCCAACACTATTTGACTGCGGCATTTTTTAAAGGCATTATCACTCGTACACTTTAGACATCACAAAAGAAAGGAGACTATAGAAGGACCATCATCTGTATTTTCAGTCGATTTCGAGTTCAAGCTCTTTGGGATATCTAGAACACGATCAGATTGCAGGTTAGTAGTGGTAATTATTCGCAAAACAACCACGCTCCAAATTTAGAAATTTCGCATGATTAGAACCAGTAGGAAAGGAGTTACGAATGAAAATACGGCTGACTAACAACGTGACCGAAGACTTTTCAGCGCTACTGCAGTTATACATGAGACTTCGGCTGTGAATGCATTTATAGATCACAGAACTAGTTTACAGATGTATGGGACGAAAATAGAGGTCTCCTGGAATTCTCTGTGGTCTGGATTTTTTATGGTAGGACTCTTGTCTTGGGAAAGGACTGTGTTATGGGGCTAGTGAAAGAAGTGTCGCAGTTCCAGGCATCTATCCTCTATATCCTCTATACATATAAACCGCTAACTTTGTGTGTCCGTTTGTATGCCCGTTTGTGTGTCCTCGCAAAAGTCACGTAGGCACGATCAAGAGCGTGGTGGGGGGGGGGGGGGGGGNGGGGGAAGGGAACGTTTTACATTGGTATCAGCCATCATCGATCACTCTGCTGACTGTTTTCCATTACATCTCTGATGCACAATTGAATGTTTTGGGGCGTTAATCAATCCCATCAGAAGTATCCCGCGCATTCGACTTCTACTCAGAATCGTAGTTTCGCATTTAATGCGTATGTGGCCTATGCAATGACTTGCGGTGACCGGCCGATGTACAAGTCAGCGCTTTTCTGCACCTCCGCTCCGATGCGCAATTTCCTGCAATCAAACTAGAACGACATTTTCAATATAAATGTAATGACAGCTACACTCTTGAAAGGATATTTTGCTCATGAGGGCATAACTCTAATGCGCGATTTCCAGAAATTAAACTCAAGAGGGATTTTGGGTTCTACTGCTCTTCTCGAGTAAGATGGTAGATGAGCGGTTACGGATATGTGGTGCACGCATGTTCATTCATAGCTCACCTGTACAGGGTGTCCCAAAATTATCTGCGCCGATTTATAGCAATAAATTTGGAACGTCTCAACTGCGAAAGACGATGGAATTTCTATGCACGCTAGCTAACACTATGTGCTACAACATGCTAAAGTCCCATTTCAAAATATCCCCCGTGAGAGCGAATAGAAGTCAAAGTTTGCTTTCTACTTGATCGCATGTGGCACGCAGGTATCCTTCTCCATTTCTTCCCAGCCGTCCTCCAGCTTTTGCATTCTAGGACTCCAAACTGGGACTGCAAACTCGACAGGTCCTTCTCTAATCAGGGACCATTCGTGGAATCCGAGTGAGTCAAGTTCTGGAAAATAGGATGACCATTCCTCTTCACCAATGAAGTCGGGCAGCTGTCGTTGGCACCACTCGCGGGCAAACTTGGCTCTGTGGGCTGGAGAAGCGTCCTGCTGGAAGGACTATGAGATGTTTCAGAAACGTAGTCGGATCAATGTTTTATTTACTTCCATTAGTACGCCGTTTAAGTACTGGTCTTGGTCAATTTTCACGCCTGCACCGAAGAAACCACGAGCGGCTCACCCTTGTCAGTGATTTCCTCGATAAACATCATTTTACTGTTCTGATAACAACCTTTTTTGAGATATTACACGCTGGATGTTTCTTTCCGGAACGCGAACGTTTTGGTTGTTGAGGAATGGCTTTATTGTAAAAAATTCTTGACCAGAAAAGAAAACGACGAAGGGTTGCGTGTCACCACTTTCGACTTTCTGCATTTTTGGCCCTGCAGTAACTGTTGAGATCGGAATTCAAGCGAAATTTCTGCATACGATAGGAACGGCAGTGAAGCTCCTGCATGACATTCTTCCATTGCGAGAACTCGGACAAGCCGTGGCCGTTGACTTCCTTTTGATGGGTCACCCACGATCCCGACCGATTGGCATACGGACCATTTTAAGAGTCCTGTCTTCAGAAACATTCTACCTTTCTATCTTTCCTGGTTTGTCTCTTTTCTTCAATTCAATCTTCTTTTCTATATCATTTAATAGCCTCCTATACGGTTATTAGAAAAATCCCAAAGAATTTCATAACGCCCTTCCACTTCTCGCGCGTCAACGATTGCAAGTGGCATTGAATGAGCCTCCTCCATCTGAAATATAATGGGAGTTCCACATCAGCAACCATGTATATTGCAAGGAAACCTTCTTATGCAACTAATTAATAACAGGTAATGTGAATTTGATAGATTGTTTCTACCTTAAAAATTACTGAACTTTGGCGCAAATAATTTTGGGACACCCTGTATACTATACTTTCTGAAATAGCAAAACAGAAGCCGATTTCTCTAACTGTCAGGCTGATGAATTGAATGACCAAGTTGGTAGATAGAAGAATCTGCTTCTGTTTTGAATCTGATATGCGTGGGATATTTTGCTGTATCCTGCCTTTTCAATTCCTACAAGTGCCCCTCCCTCCGAAGATCACAATACAGAAGGAATCGTTGGTGAGAATTAGAAACCTTTATCACCTAGCACTAGTGTGAGCAGGTATTTTTTGCTAGGTAGCGTACAAAATAAGTACTAGTTGGAAATTTTCTGAGCTGTTACATTTATCGCATATACGTGGATTCTGACTGCGGGCAATATGTTAAGTGGTCTCTCCGGCCGCTGGAAGGGTATGTAAAGCCGGCCTTGATCAGGTTCTGCTTGCCAAAAAACTTATGCCGAAAGATTAGCATTGCTCTAGTTAAGTATGAATTCAAGAGATTGTCCCTCTCAAATGCGTGATTCAGCTTCTGCTGCGCGGTAGCGCATAGTCAAACTGTTCACAGTGTAGGCTAAAAATAAACCTTTAACTAGCAGTCGAACGTATAATACATAGAGATCCTTGTTTGTTTGTTTGTTTGTTTGCTGCTGTTTGACACTCCACCCCTCCCCTGCCCATTTTATCGTCGCTGTTGAGAGTCATGTAGATCGCAACACTATCTAACAAGCAAAGGAGCTTGTCTAGATCCCGATTCCCACTTGATAGGACGCAAATGGTGCACGCCAAGTGGCACACTATCGAACATAGACCGGAGAGATAATCTCGGGTAACTGAACCTCTCCCCCATTGCATTCTCCTTGCGGCATGCGGCAAAGGCACTGCAACTACCGTACTCCCCCGCCTCCCCGCCAATCGATAGGACGCGGAATTTTTCGTTATTTGCCCTTCTTTTTTATTAAATTTGATCGTTTTTTTATTTCTTTTTCACTTTTATGTTTATTAGACTTGTTTAATTAGAATGACTCGTCCTATGTAAGCGACGATCAAGACTGCATTGAAATTGAAGAGAGTGGTCAGCCAATTCAAATAATTAAAGGACTCCCTACCTCACAAATTGCGCGCTACAATCTGCTATCGCAATCCTGCGATAAGCGGCGGGTGCGGCGTGCGCGACGCCGTCTTCAGGGAGAAGTTCAAATCTCGGAACATACTTTTACCATAGTGTCTCGATGAATAAGCGTCCTGACTGGTAACTGGACTGGCTACCGTCAGCCGTTGTAAAATCCGTAAGCGCATTCAAATGCCATTACAATTATGTATGAAAGTGAAAGCCTTCACGCAATCCAAAAGAGGGTTGCTCAACGCCGGAAGACGTTATCCCCTCCTATTTCTACTTAAATATATGTAATGTAGGTGAATAGAGAATTCAAGAAAGTGCTGAGTCTCCACCAATTTATAGACTTTACTGATATAGGGGTAAAAACATTGATGACAGCTTTCTACCCATACTTCTCAATGTTCGTTGGGAATGTGTGAACACGTTAGTGTAGCTGATCTTCTGGCAGAAAAGGTTGGAGCTTGCATGAGCATCACTCGTAACACATAGTTCTTCACTGCATTAGTAATGCGCTCAAGGTCTTCAAGGTAGAGTCCACACTTAGCGAACGAGCAATTGACGTTGACTTCTCCTAGATTCATCGTTAACAACCTCCAAGGTGACGTCTAAGGACACTCATAAATATTATTGGGGCCTGATTGCTTCGGGAGAGCATAGTTTGGGCGAACAAAAAGAATATCATTTTGAGAGCAAGGCACGGCGTGAGTGAAGGACAAGTCGACTCCCCAGTTCTGCTGATGAATGATCCGCTCCTCTAGATGAGCCCCTGCTAACCCGTAGCCGGTAGGATTTTAGTGATTTTCAGACCGGCGAAGCAAGTCTATTAGTAGGAACGGTCGGACATCGGCAGAATCTTGAGGGTAACGAAAAACGCAGCGTGTGTCCACATAAGAGACCGGCCATGCTTTAGGCGAGTGTAAATGCTATACGATAAATGATATAGACTCCGCTTAACCATTGGCGAATCAGAATATTAATGTATACAATATACAATTCACAACCAAAGCATAAAAATCATTGAATAGCATGAGCTTAAGCCGAGATTTCCCTTCGTTTTGAGGTCATCATCGGTGTCTCTGTTAATTGATATCTGTGGTGGGTCTATAACAATGGAACTTTTCGAAAAAAAGGCCACTCACTGTGGGAATAGGACCCACCACGCAATACTATATTAGACTGACGTGAAGAGCACTTTGAAAAAGACCAGCTTTCAGGAATCACTTTGACCGTTTTTAGAGTAAAGCTAACCGGAGCTCTGAAACATCAGGGGATTATAACGGGTAATTTAAAGCCCGCTGTGATCATGAAAGAGCAGAAGCTCAATAAGCCCTCAGTGGTGAAGGAGGGCGCTTCGAGCCATTCAAGCTCGTTTGAAGGCACTGATGTTCAGTGCGGCACAAAGGGTGTGGTGGTGAAGCCTAGCGGTAGTGTGTGAACGTGGCCTCCTTCGTGGCCTCCATCGTGACCATGATCACTGAAATTAGGCGTACTTCATTAAAAAGAATGTTTTCGTTATGCTTCAACTCACCCAAATGCGAACTGCAGAGCCGCGATGACAGCAAATCCGATGAAGATTGCCAGCAACTGCTTCAAACTATTATGTTCGTTGTCCTTTTCATGTGCCAAGACCTAAACAATGGCTTTTAGTAACCTTCTACTTTCGGACATCAATCAAAGAGGAGCAGGAACCTCTAGGAAGGTGACGTAAATGAAGGTGCCAGCCGCCAGTGATTCCAGTATCAAGACGGCTCCATCTTTATGGAGGCGGCTTATGTTGGACATCTGAAGAACTATCGAATTAGAGAATATAAATCGAACAAGCCTATTGTATATCCTCAATCAACCCCATCGCTATCAATTCATCGATCCAAACTTTTTCTCTGTTTCTCGGGAGCAAGCGTTCCTACTCACTAAAGGTCTGAAAGAGGAGCGCTTGTATTGCTTGCTGATGTGCCCCAATCATTTTCTTTTGCTTTGTACCTTTGTTCCTTTGCATTATCTCAACATTAAACACAGATTTGGCAACTTGCCCGATACAGGAATACGCAGTCAGCTCAACTCTCAATACCGGTGCCTAAAAAACCTCCTTTTTGCAATCCTGTAAACTACCGGCCCATATCTATCACTTCAATTTTTTCGAGGCTATTTGAAAAAATCGTGAAGCTTGGAGTAATTGAATATTCTGAGAAACACAGTCTTATTCCTCAGACCCAGCATGGTTTTTGTGCCCGAAAGTAACTGAAACAGCTTTGCTGAGTTCTCTTAATGATTGGTCGAAAGTCCTTGATCGTAAGAAACAGGTGGACGTCATATATTTCGACTTCGTGAAGGCTTTCGATAGGGTAACTTTCCATAAGCTTATAATCAAGCTGGAGTCCCTTGGGATCTACCCTCCCATAATTCGCTGGATTGAAGCTTTCATCTGCAATCGCACCTACCAGGGGCGTGTTGGAAGCAAGCTCTCCTCTGTGTGTAGGGTTCCCAGCGGAGTCCCTCAAGGGAGAAACTCGTCCCCGATCCTTTTTCTTCTTTATACGGCTAACCTTCCTGCTAATTTGCAAAGTCTTCAGGTATCCTCGTTGATGTACGCAAACTATACAAATCGAAAGCATTAATGACTGTGACGCCCTGCAAGCAGCAATTAATATTATTGCTGATTGGTCAAAACAATGGGATCTACCTTTAGCTCCCGATGAAACAAAGGTGTTGACAATCGGCAATAAAACTAGTATTCCACGTAGTCACAAAATAGGTACTGTAGCGTTGGATTCGGTTGATCACATAAAGGATCTTGGGTTTACGTTTTCGCACAAGTTTGCGTTTGACATGCACTATAAATCCGTGGTGTCAAAGGCAAACAACAGGATATACAACCTGTTCAAGACCTTACGAACCATGAATCCCACCGTATTTCTAAAAGCCTACAAAGCTTACGTAAGACCTATCTTGGAATCCGGTACCACAGTGTTCTCTCCTTATAAGAAGAAGGATGTAGATTTGTTAGAAAGTGTGCAGGGCAACTTTACACGTAAACTCGCTCTTCGCTGCTGCAAGTTGAGTTATGAAGCCTTGCCTAATAGAAACGAAAGACGCCGTCAGTTTGGATTACCATCTTTGGCACGTAGGAGATTGGTTAATGATCTCGTTATGGCTTTCAAAATGTTGACAGGAAGAGTAGCACTATAATCGTCAGTTTTTTTCATTTTAGCCACATCGAGAACAAGGGGCAATACTATCAAAATAAAGTCTTCTGTAATAAGAACCCAGGTCAGAGCCAAGTTTTTCGCGGTTAGAGTGCTACCGATCTCGAACAAAATTTTTGACGAGAATACGCTGCGCTGTTCCCTCGGGTCTTTCAAAAATAAAGCAATAAAATTGGCCAGTGCGGAGGTTTCTTAATCCATACGATCGTTCTTCATATGATTGATCGTGTAGACTGATTTCACAGTATTGTTTCATAATTTCGCTTATACTTTAATGTCGTCTCTCTTCATTATACCATAGCTTTCATCGGCAAAGTGGAGTTCGTTTTTATTTTTCACTGCATTGTACAACACCACGTAGTTCAGCTGCGTCCAGAAATAAATAAATAAATAAAAACTCTCTACTGAGACGATAGTATCGACCATGTGTTCTTAATTGTGTGTAGAGTTCTGTTTGACTTTATTTATAACCATTCTAACTAAGCGAATCGTTATAGTCCACAATTATAAAATTTCTTCCAGACATTTCGGAGAGATTGAGAAAACTAAATCCAACGTTTCCTCAGGCAGAGGAATCCCGATCAATCGGAAGGGTGATGTGATAATCAAGTCAAAGTTCGCAAAAATGATTCTTTACAATGGATTCTGCTCACTTCTCCCCAATGAATACTTTGTCGATGCTGATTTTTATTTATATTATGACACTCTGTTTTTTTCGAACTGGTTCCGATAAAATCTCTGTTGACAGACGTTCAATCGTCCCATCGCCTTGAGAAAGAAACAGGCAGCGGGTCAATGACGCCTAGAGATTATCAAGTTTGGGAGGAGCCTTATGTATGTAGGTAAAACTGGCATAGACGCTACCAAGCTGTTTAGGACTGATAATAAGACCACTGATCGAAATGGGGTTGAGTAGAAATAGAAGATATCGCATAGCCGCAGACGCCAAATGTGTTTTTCACTAAATCATCAGAGTGTGCGTTTAGGTCATTTGTTGTATATACCTACAGTAACCTGTCAACTTATCTCCGTCCCATCAGTAGTGTTTTTGTTAGGCAACTATTGTGTTCCTCTGAAGGGTAGTACAACTTGTAAGAGCAACACTTCCACTATCCCCTCATTGGAGGCGGGTCTTTCGATAAGCCTACATTGTAGCCCTGTAAGCCCTGGACGATAGGGAGCGAAGATGAAAAGGCCAATGTTCAAGAGGGAATCCCTACCCAATTAGTAAAAAGCGTTACTAAACCGAAAAATCTGACCCTCGCTTATTTCAGGCTCTGTAAAAGGCAATCTTGCCGAGGCGTGAGCCCAACAAGGCTGAGATTTTGGAAGGATGGTTTCATGCCGTAAACGGAACTGGATACTAGCCATTTCAGTAGTAGTGGGAAATTTCTCCTTTCAATAGCGCTGGAGCATCCTCTGCACCTAAAAGAATCCCTCTGCTCTTGTACTGGGGAAGCAACAATTCCTTTACAGACCAAAAACTGGTTTCGTTTTTCAGACAACGACCATCTGACACTGATCTAGTTTACCTAAAGAAAAAACCCCCTTATTGACAATTATGGGCCTACTGTGGAGATACCATCGCTACTGAATTTGCTTTTTAGACTTGTTGGATGGTTTTTTCGCCGAGCAATTCATGATACATGATTTTTGAGCACTTAAATTTTTATACATAACTCCTGTTCAGCGAATTAATACCCGGGAAATACATCATTGTCATCATGGTAGCTACATATATCTTCGTCATTGGAAAAACTTTTCATATTTGCCTATTTCATTTTGATTGTGTTAGAAATGCCTTGTTTGGAGGGGCGGGCGTCGGACCCGAGCGAGTCAGCTAACCAGAATCGCCTCGCACCCACCCACCACCCCAGCCAGATGGAATTACAGTGAGCTTCTGAATCGACCACCTGATAGCAGCTAAAGCAGATTTAGAGGTCATTTTCTCACCAGACGCAGAAAACCCTCCGAACGTCGATCATTTTTCGATAGTGCTATATGGAATGATTGTGTACAGGCTTATACCGTTATCAGTTTCGATGGAGTTAAGCACGGCAGAGCTCGCTGTCTTTGCCGATAACTTTTTTCTGACTCGGCCTTTCAATCCTTTTCAACAGATATTGTACATTACGAGGGAGAACATAAAGGTAAAAAAATAAAGTGTCTGAGTTGTTTGAGTGGCTTATAGCATCATTCACAACCACCGATGTATTGCAAACACAAAAAGTCCAGTTTAGCTGGGCAAGTTGATAAGTCAAAATTGGAAAGTTTCCGACCTGAAGCAAGGTTCCCAGACCTGATCCCAGAGGAGTCATCATGGCGTAAATGAGGATTGTTGCAATCACTGCTTTCAGCTAAAGAAGAATTTTCGTTGATAATATTATAACAGTGTAAAACAGGTCACCTTATTACTGTTTCCCTTAGATATCTGCAATCCAACGCTGAACGCTTCAACACCTTTGTGAAGGATAAGCGAGATGAACAGGGTGACGATTCGTGCGGTGGTGTTCTGGAATGGGGAATTTCAGAAGCCTTTGTTACCATTTTGGATGGAAGCGACAAGCAGGACCTGAACTCCAAGAGCGAACCCTTCGAGAATCGAGTGGAAGGACATGGCAACGGCGAACGTCAACGATTTCAACAAAGATCCTTCGGACGACTCAGCGACTGCATAGTTCGCTGTTTCCTCCATCACAAGGCTGAATCTGCACCTCACGGTTATACAAGCACTGTTCCATCTTCGTAGCTGAACTTAGGGACTAGCTACATTCTACGCTACGTCCACTAACGACGCTAGAACTCATAATAGGGATTGGTGTTATGAAAGGACGACGATTCTGATGATTATTAGGAAGAAGTCGTGCGAAATACAAGCAGTTACAGAAGGTTCTAGTGCAGAAGCGATGCAAACCTGTTCGTTGGCAAGCCAGTCGGCTTAAGCTCATAGTCGTCCATAAGACCAAGAAGTGCTTGAGTACTGAAAGCTATAGCACATGCAATATTAGCCAGAAGCTAAATTTATGTTAGAATGTTTCAAAGTCTACTGAACAAGATTATATTGATGAGGGCTCAATGTCTCTAGCATTAGAAAGGTGGCTCCTCGTCCTACCCCACTTTCGCAGTATTGAATCCAAATCGCTTCGTACAGTCGTTCACTTCAGGCGAGACCATCAAAGCACAAACGTGTCATCAGCGAGCAATCAGACAACCTTTTATGCAGTGGTTTTAGTGCCACTTCTGTCTGTGCCAGTTCAGGGACATAGGTCAGGATGCGCCATCGCTATCGCATCACAAAAACTTAGGTCAACCGGTCAGCGACAAAAGCGACTTATCGTGTAAAGAGGATTATTCACCCTTGATCTGCTGAAAAAAAAGGCATTTTTGCACGGGTAGTGAATTCATCGTGAGCACGATTTCAATGATTTGATGAGATGAAATCAAATTCTCACCTATTTCTGGTGAAGGACAGAATTCGAGTGGTAAAGTATCACGTCCTCTTACTAAAATTTGCCGCCCACTCGTTGGCCCCTTTTATCCCTCATCTGATAGCTTACATAAGTCTGAAGGCTGGCATGAATATCTTGGAGGTTACTCGTCAAGGAGGTGAGTCTCACAGGAGCAGGAGCTTTAATAAAAGAGATGAGGTTACTGACACTGGACCATGGGAGCTTTTGTGAGTATCTGGTGACTTACCCTTTTTGCAACCCAGCGCGAGACGATCCTAATGCAAGCCGTAGAGTTAGCGCTGTTTCAAAAGATCCTCCCACATCAGAAAGACAAGAGCTATACCTGACTAGTCCTGGTGATTTGATCCCAAATATGTCGGACATTTTGGTTGTAAAAGTCATATCAGTGTGACAGGCGACACCCCGGAACATCGTTCTCACTTATACTCGGGATTGTACAAGTTTCGGATAATGTCTGCATCTTACTAGTATTGTAAATACCGCCCGACTTGGTATTTTCAGTGAATCCTTCTTTGCAGGCACGCCAACGGGCCCGAGTAGAGTAAGTTTGCTTGTTAGTACAGTGTAACACAAAAATTCATGCTAAGCAGAAGAACTGAGAGCATTAGTGGGATTAAATGATCGAATAGAAAGTGCTGCATGCTTGCTGTGCAAAGAGATTAGTCTGAGAGGCAATAGTCTAGTGCACAAACACGTACTTTCTGAGGTTGAGAGTGTCCTTCTGAACAGGCTTTTCCACTTCCACCGCACTGCTGTGGTCGTGCTTCATCGCAAACACCTGCAACATTACAAGCTGTGTGTCAAATCCAGCAACTGAAAACCATCGAATACGCTTTTAACCCCGACTAGGCTTCAGTTTCATGTGGGAAATTCACAACTAACAAAAAAGGTAAAGTCGCTTGATTAGTAGGTAGAATGACTCAATTATTAGAGCATTCGAAAAGTACTTGCCGAACTTTAGTTTAGGCCTTTTTTACATACTCTGGAAGTCTCCATAGAAATACTACATATGTGGCATTACCGACTTACATTCCCTCATTAATGCTTACTTGACCATATGATAGCCGAACTGTCTGTCATTCAGCACTACTATTTACGAGTTCGAAGCCGGTCACCCCGTTGCTAAAATCTCGGAAAACGTATGCTATGTTTTCGGCCCTAGGCTTATGCTCAGGCTTGGGCTCAGGCTCTTAGTAGTCCCCTCCCCAATATCATTTGAAGAACGGGATTCGTCATGCGCATCCAAAAAGGGTAGTGTGTTCTTATATTATTGCTGGTGCCTTCAAATACGGAATGGAAACAGAATGATGGATGGACATCCGAAAGAAGTCAACAGAGCACATCATTTTTTCTTCTCACAACGCATAGTGCGGATATCGACTAGTAGTAGTAGCCGTTTCTACTGTTCGACCTAGAAAAGCCTCGCACAGTTTTTACTGTACTGATGCTCTCGATAAGCCTCGGTATTTTATGGAAGCACCTATTTGAACATCTCCAACTGAGGTTGAAAATACCCTAATGGCTAAGGTTCTGCTAAATGCGACTTCTTTGAAGTCTGAAAGGATGGAAGCGACTTATGAGGTTATGCGACCAAACATACCAACACCTCTAAGTACTTCTAGATCGACTCGATCTCTACACAATCCTAAACAAATAGAATTAGCGTACCTCTCTGTTTGACAGAAACCGCCCTCAGAAGGCTATTCAGAGTTCAAAACCTTTAGTCAAAAGCGAATACTACATGTGAGTTCGAGTGTACGTAACACATCTACTAACGTAACACCCCTTTCCATTCGCCTACGATCGTTGTGATGATTGAGTTGGCCTCTTGGATTTTGTAGGGTTTGTGGGGTGTTTGCTCAGATAACCCAGGTGTCGATTCTATTCTTCCAAGCTCTGAAGAAGGCTGGCTAGAGCACATTAACATTAACCATTAAGTTTTTCACATTTTCACGGTTTATCTGAGGAAAAGCCAAAGCACTAACTGCGTAGTAGCAAAGTCACAGTACAGATCTGATATACCCTCAAATCGCTACCACGACTTTGAGTCGAAGTCAAGTGCGGGGCGTATCTCAAAAAACAGAACAAGCTTGATCAAGTCAAACATTTTACCCTTCGTTTCAATTCATTAAGATAGGTCACTCGAAAAAGGCTTATCTCATTGCGCTCATTGCGCGCACAAATTTTTTAGTCGCTGAGCTGGAGGGCATGTGTTGAGGTCAGAAAAGTCAGAGAGCCATCAAAGGGAAATGGGGTCTCAAGGAGGAGGAAGAAGAAAGAAAGTTACCTTGATGCAAATTTCCTCGATGAGGTAGACAAGGAAAAAGCCGACACACGTGAAGAACTGGGGTAATGGGAACTCGAAGTTGGTACCAGACAGGACTTTGAAATCTTCGTAGTTTTCGCTGAAATTTCAATTTTGCAGAGAAATTGTCTGTACTATGCTTCATAGTAAGTTGCGTACGAGCCTAGTTCATCAATTTTGGAAAAAAAAGTGTGGAAGTGGACTTCACACCAAACAGGAGGCCGATTACCCATTATGTCGGTCAAGCACCGTTATTTAGGTTCAGTTATTCAGCAGTAAACTTAGCAGATTAGGGCAATTCTGGTAATTTACCTGCAACATCAGTGAATCTACCAGCTAAACGTTCGTTGATTCACAATCGGTTGAAATGCATGGCCCATTTCTATTATACTGTTTATGGTTTATTTCAATGAGCGGTTATTACCCTGCCATTTTCCAATTGTAGAACTGTAATGCAAAATGACAACCCGTTCGGAATCCACGACTGCAAAAGTACCGAGTGCGTTGGAAGTCTAAGTGCAGTTAATCATGAAAATGTTATTCAATTTTCGCGACTCTCTACAGGTCTTTAAAAGATTTGATGGTCCCACTGTAATTTTAGTATCATGTTGACCAAAGATTGTAATTAACAGACTGCAGAAGTCGTGGTTCAGACATCGGCGTCCCTCACCAAAATGGTCGAGATGCATAAACGCGGAATGACTGAGGCTGATCCCTCGGATTAACTTTAGGAAGGTCAGCAATTCAAGTTTCAAAGGTCTGGTACGATCAAGGATCATCCAAGATCAGCGAGACCACCACTGTGACAAAGAACTAATTTTTGACTGCTGTCCAAAACTGCGTCGACGGGAATTCAAAGTGAATGTGCATCATACGGCCCAAGAGCTAAGGTGAAGAAGAGGATTCACTGTATCACCACCATCAAGTAACAGCTAACGTTGGTCTTACAGAGCTCGAAAAGCAGCTGCTCTCTCGAACCGGAAAAGGTCAGTCCCTCTAGTGAAATGATCCTGGTAGCCTTACACGAAAGGCAGAGACTTCGCTTGTGTTCGGGCGAAGGCAGGGGCGAATATTCACAAGCAGTACCACCTCAAAACCATACCGAAGCATGAGCTACCATTTCAGAGTAGTTTTCAGTTTGGGAGCGACTTTTGAACATATCCGCACGGAAAGGCTCCAGCCCCCCTTGCCAAATTTGTGCAAATGTGATACCCAGACCGTGCGCTGGCCTTCGTCGTTATTCAGAATTGGTCGTTTTCCTTCTCAAACTTTAATCTTCTAAAGTATGCCTCATGACGCTGCCTGGCTTCCGACGTATAGTCACTAAACAGCCCTTTCGTAGGGGATGGGAGACGTCGTCTATCTTTGTCCACCACTGCTTCTAAGGTCTGTTATCGCAAACAAAGGGGGTTATATTGAAATGTGAAGAAACGACGCTGTTGCCAATCGCCTGGTGATTTCTTCAGAAGTTTTTTGCTTCGATCAGATAAGTTTTCTTGAACATTGTGTGCTTATACCTTCATCACACTCTGTATATTAGATAATATGGGGTCATCAAAGTTTTCTTGTGGAGACACTGATAGGAGCATTGATGTCTAGGAATTGCTGTTGTAAGTGCGACAATCGATATATACTGTTCATTTTTGACTCGTCTGCGGCCTAGGAACTGAGAAGGTTCCACATAAGGTAATTCTGATCCGTCTGGAAACAAATAAAGCTCCACATAAGAATACTGGGGCTCACTTTTCCCTGGTTGCATCGTTCTTGAGTATACTCCATTGCAGAAACATGATATTCAATTGACTGGCTCAAAGACATACTTCTCATCCGTGACTCTGCAGGAGAGAGCCATTTATATATGAAGCGTTCCGAAGAGTGGATTAGTTCAATATAAGGTCCTCGTAGGTTGTGTTGTGCGTTGGTCAGGTAAACAGGAGGGGCACCGTTAGGAAATCACTTGGTTTTCCAGTACCCGGTTCGATGCCAACTTTGTGAACAACCCATGACACCAGAGGCTTTGGGCCGACATTAACGGTGCAATCAGATTTTGGGGCAAGCAATCCCACAAGCTTACCAAACTTAAGAAGTTTTTTTTTTAATATTTAGTGGACTCAAAAGATTGTTCAGAAGGTATATGCTGGTAGATTCTTTTATTCGCCCTAAAAAACATTCAGACATTCTTTACGAACGATGGATGATCTATGGGCAGCGCAGACCACCAGTAACGGTAATCTTCTAATTTTTACGATTTTATTAAACGATCCGAACATGAGTCAGCAATTTACCCAATTCAATTACACTGGCCAGACTCTGCGTGGAAATACGTTCTGATAGGTGGGTAGGAGGGCCTAAACTGCGAGGCCTTGACGTAAAAAAACTGCGTGCCTTACCAACAGCTGCCTTTTGCTTCACCTTTCCTGTCGGTTTTCCTAACTTATTGAAGGGCGGGTAAGGGCGCCGGAAGGTAGCTACCTTGCAANTAGTGTTAAAGATTTTTCACTGGAGAGTCGCCGTAATGAATGAATTAGGAATTTGGCACAAAAAACAAACAAAGAGCAAGAAGCTGCGATAACGATGAGTGCAATGAACCTGATGTTTGGCCAGAAACATTAGTACCATTTACATAATATTGGCGGCACTCAGTAGAAATGACCAACTGTTCAGACAAAAACCCCCATCACTGCTGTAGAATCATTGAAATCGATTAGGAGGGAATGACTGATCGACATATTCCTAAGCAGTATTCCTATAGATAAGCAATCAATGGAGGACCTTCTACTCCGATCCATCCCCTGATGGAGGTCGATTAGATGGCATCAGCTAAGCTGAGAGCATGAATTGTGGAATCCAGGTACAGATTCAGAGAAACCGTGAGCAACTCTTTCCATAGACCCTATGTGTCGCGCGGCTCATCTCAAACAGCGCTAAATCGAGATCAGGGAACTGACTTGATATGTGGAATGATGTCGAGAAAGCATGTTCCCATGAACACGCCGCCGGAGAAGCACGAGAGCAACGAAAGCCATCTACCGCGTTTCTTGTTATCACCTTGCGTTTTGTTGAGAAACCGCAGTAGCTGAAGATAGGGAAAGGAGGAAGGACTTTCAAGACAAATGGAAGGTAGTTTGAACTTACCTTCAGTGGGATGAATCCGGCAATGGCAGTTGTAAGGAACATGACGACCGCGAGGGCCACTTGAAGCCAAGCGGTCATCGTCTGGAATAATCGGTCGTAGGGAGCGGACAAATCGTGAAATATGAGATGCAGTATAGCTATTATTCCAGGAAACTTACGCCTATTCTTATGGGTAGACCTTTGCCGGTTGCTTCACTCGGAGCGGCAGTATTCAAATGATCTGCAAAGTACTCGAAATAACTTTTCTTAGCCAAAACACAGATTCAAGGCTAGATGTACGGATAATATTTATAATAACTCAAACAAGAACAGGCAAAGAAAAAAGGAATGACGATGATCGGCAGGTTTATGATGTCACTTGATCCTACTAAGGATAGCATTCTCCTGTAATGACGTGAGTACAGAACGACGGCGAAAACATCCCCTATTTGATCTTATCGAGGGGAGGAATCGCCAAAATCACTTATTTCAGGCACAATCGCGCACAATACGACTTAGCGCCTTTGCGTTAAGAGGATCGAAAGAGCCGAAAACTGATCAAATAGAAAATCAACATTCAAGAAAGGAAAGAGTGGAACCATGTGATGAAAACAGAAATAAGTGCTGGGTATAGCAACAAACACCAAAAACTGGAGGAGTACGTTCGCCAAAAAAGCTAGGTGGTATCATGAACAGTGTGGTTGCAGCTGAGGTCAAATCGACAGAGGAGGCATCGACCTTCAGTGGTGGGCATGGCATCGTTTGATAAGAATGACTATAATTTCTGCATAAATGGAACTGGATCGCTAGGTAACTCAGTAGAAGAAATGTTTTTTAATTACAGCTCTGGACATTGCCCACACTACTGAACGAATTGAAATTTCACGGTATTGAACCTCCACCCGTCCCCGTCACCTACGTAAAACTGCACACTGAGAGCCCTAGGTAATCCCAAACCGACAAAATTTCTTTCTCGCCATTAGCTGCAGCTGTAGCGATCGATTCGAGCGATTATCGATCTGGTCGGATCGATGACGACCTCATGAACAAAAGCTGGAAAAGGTTGCTGAAGTAAGGGTGTATGGCGATGACGATGGCGTATGTGACGGCAGTTATGGATTCGTTCGATAACTATCTACACTTGGCCGCCTGAACAGCGCCAAGATACTTACGAAGATACACAACAAAAAGTCCGCAATAAATGCTGGTCCAATAAAGACATCACAGATCGTTCATGAGCCCAAGGAGAGGGCTGAGGAGGGGGATGAGCGGATTAGGAGCAGAATGTTCCCGCAGGTATCGTGCAATAATGGATGAATGGAGTTACCTGGTGAACGAATACCGGACAGCCGGCTAACGGGCACCCACGACCATCAGAGCGTCCTGTTTGGGCACCGATAACAAAATAATGGAACTAGTAGTGACTTGAAAATATTCCAACAAACAAGTTTGTCATGCAACATACTTCACTACAGCTATGAAAGTATAAAGGTAGGGACAGAGGACCGAAGCATAGAAGCGATGGTCCTGACGGAAGAGAAGCCACCAGACTTGTCAATCGATAAGAGTTGTTGTCCATCGGGAAGATAAGAGGCGAGACACTACCTTTCCGCGGTTTCACGGGCCACTGGATACTTTTCAAGGACTCGTCGTTAAGTAGATGCTTAGTGGGCATTGTCGGGAAGGCAATGGGAGGAAAATTCGTCGCTGTTTCATTCCTCACAACCTTGCAGGTATCATGGAAAACTGGTTTCGTAGCGTTGCCAAATCGCAGGTGATTGGTCTCGGATGGAGCAGCTTAAAGGTTTAGAGCGTCATTGTGGCATTCGTATCAGTGGCGCCCCGTCATGGGGTCATAGTGGAAACGATGGACAGTGAAATGTTAAGAGAAAATTTGGCCGATCGGGGATGTGGGAGTAGAGGGAACTGTTGCGACGAATTAGGAGGAGCGTCGCTCCGCTAAGCACAAACATCGTCCATTAGGTAGGCACACGATCTGTTGAAGACGCACTGAGGAAACTCCTTCCATTTGTGAACAATGGTGGGTGACGTAAACATTTCATTTCACCGAGAGTCTATTGACCTCCCAAGGGTTCATGGTTGGAATAAGTGTCGTGCAGAGTATATCCCAATCTGACCTTTGATCCTAAATAGGATTCCAGCCGGTTCTTTTGCCTATGAAGGTGAGGGGTAGTTCGAACTTCGACCTGAAAAGTCGGGTATTGAAAAGCAACGATGCGTGATCTGGGCAATCCTCGTGCGCGAAAACGGCCGATTTCCTAGTTTCGTTCGCTGAAAATATAGACTCTGCTCGTGTGATGACTCAACCCGATTGTCCAGATTTCGGATTAAGAGAGAACGCCTTTGTGGACCGAGCTCGAGTGCTATTATAGGTGTGAACCTTGCAGCTTTGCGGACCTGTTTATTTGCCATGTTTGCGTGGTTGCAGATTTTTTTGAAGCTGATATACATATAGACAGTGGGCAGGGGGTGCAGCTTTGTTTAGGTGAAAGCACGGAATTGTTGGGATTCGCTTGATCATTCTTCCCATTTATCTTTCATCTCGAAGCGAAAAAATGTTTCCACGATTTCTATGGTCAAAGCGCTTCTATGCTCTCCACACATCAGACCGTCGCTGGACTTCGAACCAAATCAAGGTTCACATAAATCTAACTATGTCATTCTGTTGGAACGTTTTCGAAGCCCCAGGGAAGGTTTCTCTGCAGCACGGAGCCGATGGATATCGCCAATCACGTCTCACTACCAAAAGATGGAACAAATGGGGTCGATAGCACAGAAATTGCTTTACGTTGGACTCAACTAAGTGTGTTAATTAGATAATTTGCATAAATATTGATTCTGGCAAATGGAAATATGTGGACATTGAAAAACTTGCGAGGAAGGATTGATAAATGGTTCTGTGACAGTCATTCACTGCGCCACTCAGTTACTCACTTTCAATGCTTGCACCTACATTTAGCAGTTATACCAGTTTGCTCCTTCTAAGGAGTTTAGAAACGATGATGACATTTCTTTTCACATTCCTATTAGGTGCAATTATAGTGCTTCAAAGATTATTCACTAGTTATTCACAGCCACCCGATTCCATACGTCTTCTCCCTTTTTTTCTAACAAAACAAATTCACCCCTTACAAGGGGTACGGTAATCAGTTCGGGTGTCATAAGGAAAGCCAAAATTCCTGTTAAACGTTGACTAAAGCATAATACTACTCTTTCTCCCTAACCGTCTCTGCTTCTCTATCTCTCGCTTTCTCTGTCTTTCTGTATCACCATCTCCCTCCATCTGACTCTCTCCCTTTGACTCTGTCTTTTTTCTGCTCTGCTCAAATCTTTTTATCTTTTATTTGGAAAAAATGATAGCTGTGAGAGGTAAAACAGTAACATCAACATATATTGTCAAAGATGTAAAGAGAGTGCAAGCTATCGCAGGTCCATCATAATAAATCTCATAAATTTTCATCGGTGGGGGAAATGTGAAGCACTTCGAAGAGAATAAAGAAAAAATCGTGGAGAATTGATCAGTCCCGTCTGAAGGCTGCGCCCCTGCATTCGACTTCCATTCAGAATCGCAGTGGCGTACGTGGCTTATACAATGACTTGCGTTGGTCAACCGATGTACAAGTCAGTCAGTCAGTTTGATCCTAACAGACAGATCTGGTGCCAATAAATCGACCCCGAAGAGATGAAAGGTTAGGTGGATCTGAGCGGATATCGATCCGAGATTCGAACCCGTGACCAAGCGTGAGTAATAGTGCGCAACTTGCCGCTACACCACCTCCGTCCAAGGAAAGCAATGAATACAGAGAATAAGTCAATTTGAAAATTTCCGAACTGAATCGTTTAATTCTAGAAAGAAACAAAACTTTCAAAATTCCTCATTCTGCTGTATTTTAGTGCATAGCGTAAGGTTCAGGGCTCGACCCCTCGAATATAACAATTATTTGGTACTTTGAAGTATTTTCAGCTAATACCCTTATATATGCCTCAAGTCGACGAGAATTACCTTCTCAAGAATGGGAAATTGACGTATTACGACAGTGGGGACACAGCAATAACAAAGGGCTGTCTACCGTAATTCACTGTCGATTTCTGGAATGTCACGTAGCTTTTCTCAATCATTAAAAGGCGCAGTTCACGATAGTTTTGAGGTGCCCTTTTCAGATTGAAAAGTGAAATTGTTGATGTAGAGGAGTACATCGGTGGAGAAGGAATTGAGAAAATCCGACAACTTCAATGATTTTCAAAAGTAATGAAAGTGGAGTATGAGATCACCGAGATAGGAGTGGCATGTGAGTGTATTCGGAAGAGATTGCTCCTATTGCGCAAAGACATGATTATATGAAGCCGAAATTGTCCAGAACTGCCTCCCACTGTCGCCATTGGTCATAAAAAATTGTCAGAACTTCCTACAAGGGAATTTCTCGAGATGGTGCAGCCTCTACAGAGCCGTTGGAACTCGTCCGCTATGGATGCGGCGTCCACATGATACAATCTCTGGCCGCTTATTGTGCCCTATCCAGGACGTTTTTCGACCATATAACGGCAGGTATGTTACAGGAGAGAGGCTCGATATTTATACTATAGGGAAATCTTAGAAACCAATTTTATCGTGAACTTTGCCTTTATTCAATCACTGATCATTTTATGGAAAATTCTATGGGTCCCATCGCTCCTGCTAGTGAACTGCCGTGAAGAGCAATCCGGGTTCGGGATGACAAGGAGNGAACCTGTGGGATTCTTTCCCATTAGCTGTATCATAAGATAAAATCAAAATCGTAGTGAAGTATGAAGTTACATTATAGAGTTAACCTAGCTGTAATGCCAAGCCATTGACGTGCATATGTACCTCTGATCAGCCAAACAACTCCTTCCCATTCCTCTTTCTACTCGTGAGTTAGGATGAGGCTGTTACTGCAATAGGCTACTCTTTGGCGTGCCTTCTTTTGTGTAGTATTGCCACTTAACTATTACTCTTCCGAATGACTTGTAAATGAAACAAATTTCGAAAAAGAAACCCGAACGAGTGGGGACAGGCTGTTTTGGAATCCAATAAAAGGTACTTGCCGAGAAGGAATTCAGGGTAGTCAAAA